AATCGTGTCTAATCACCTTTTTTTGCTTGAGAAAGAATACTAGATTAATTCTTAACGCTTTTGCTACAATCTCGCCTTAATACTCTATGAGGATTATGAGCTATGGGTTACCGCAATTATCTCTCGATAAACTATGATAAATTACTAGGCATTCTCCCTCTCTCGAACTACTCTAGTTGATAATTTATGCAGCTCTGAATTATCCCACCAAAGTTTCGTTATTTCTAACCCTACTTTTAAATTCAAGTAATGAATCTTTTCAATTACCCAAAAGTGGTGTTGTTAAACAACAATCTAACCTAGTATTCATTCTCAAGAAACACAAGGCGATTAGACACGATTAATCAAGGGCCTATTCAATTATTCATCATACAAAACATAGTTGAACAATCATATAATAAACTCGGCTCGATTATAACACAATTGAGTCAAGACTTCATTTAACAATTGGTTCCATCAACCCTAGACTAAATAATTAGCTACGCATAATTGTTTTCATAATCACAACATCAAAATTCTTAGTCAATGATCAACACAAAAGGAAGAAAGATAGAACTCGATGCCGAATTTTCTTCCTTGCATCTTGCCTCTTCTTTCCTTCAACAAAACTATAAAAACCTTGATATCCTCTCTTCGGGCGACATGGGCTTCTAATATGTTAAGGAGAGTTGCCCCCGAACTTACAAAATTACCCCTAGAAATAAGGTTCGGCGAATTGACGAGCGCGGCCGCGCTTGGGCCACGTATATCTTGTTCTATTCTGCTTGGACTAGCGCGACTGGAGCGCGCCCGTGCTCATGAGGTTCAATTGTTTTCTACTTTTCTCCTTCTTCTTTCACGCGCATTCACCTCCGAGTGGCTTTCCTTACTCCAAATTAGCTCCAAAAGCTGTTCAATGTCCTCATAATCAACCACTCACTTCTGCAAAGCATAAAATTCATAATTAGAGCCATTTGTTGCCATTTAACATTCATATAGCAATAGAGCATAACTAAGTTGGGGCGTAAATGGTTGCTAAACTATGCAAATATGGCCTATTATCAACACCCCACACTTAAACCATTGCTCGTCCCTGAGAAATCAACCATACTCTACAGAGGTTCCTTCGCTAAGCAACTTCTCTAACGTATCACACCAAAAACATACCACAATAATTGAGTCCAATAGTGTAACATCCTTGCCTCAAGAGTTGACTCTCACATGCCGCGCAACATTCCTAACTTACTCACTTACTCTACATAGAGGTCAAGATGTATCTTTCCTTCATGAATCAAGTGCCCTCACATTGCAAACGAGAGTAGTTTCACAAGCAATAAACATTCAGGCAATTGGGAACTCAAATCGACAACATTCACTCACTCTCAGAAAGAACATTCATATGCCACAAAAGATGCACCATAGGATTTCCCATAGTGTACTACTCTACTAATCGAGCTCTTTCAGTCTAGGATTAAATAGGACTTTATTTAGTTGTAATGTAGGCTAAGGGACGGGTAGGATACATTTGGATATAAGAGTGACTAGATCTCCCTAAGCACTTTAATACATAAACTTTCACATTCATAACCCCACAGTTATGTCAAACCAAGGCTCCACCTTTTACATCTATATATATTAACTCCCTTCTTCTTTAAGAACACTTAATCAAGAGCCACTATTTATCAAAGACTATATATATTTTTTTAATTCAAGTGGCTCTTACTTATTCAAAACCATGCATCCTGATTTCGTTAGTTCCACTCAAAAGTCAAACCAACCACCCCACACTTTAACTTTTACCAGTTCATCACAATTCAAGTGCTTACGGGAGGTGAAAGGGTTCAAACAAATGATTCATTAAAACAATTGGGTGAGGCTTGTAATGTGGTTGCCAAAGAAACAGGATTACAGGATCAAAGGGGTTAACTACGGTACATTACACTTAGGAGGATAAAATATACATTTCTGGTTCAACAAAGAAATGCCTATATCATTTCCAAGACTGAATAAAATTACTATTTCACTTTGCAAATAGACAGGGCAAGTTCTAGGCATCAAATGCAGTGCACAAAATATAATAAATCTCACACACACATGGCACATGACTCATTCCAGATTGGCTAATCAAAACACTCTCGTCCGAGTACTTGAGTCAAGTTAAGAACATACAATTTAAGGCACTTTAACAAGAATCAACAACTGAGACTAAGCGACACACTAAAGTATCTATTGTATTCAAGGCGTAACAACGTTAAGAGATTCTCTTTTCATCTCAGCTCATAGCCCATAAGCATCTAAAAATAAAAAATAACCAAAAACCTAACTACACCCTGTTCAAACAAAACCCTTGGAAAAGAACCGCGGTCCAAAGAAAAATCAAGGGGGAATTGATACACTACCTACAAAAGAAAATTTTTTCTTCTCTTTTTATTTAATTTTTTTATATCGACTTAGACCCTCAAGAAACCCATCAAGTGATATCCATCGTCGGGAAAAGTTGAATCACCTATTTAGATAAATTAACTAAGGACCAAAATCAAACTAACTAAAGATACCAAAATCAAACTAAAAAATCAAACTAACTAAAGACCAAAATCAACTATATACCAACATATATACAACATACAAATGAAGAATCCCCACCCCACACTTAAAAAAATGGCATGTCCCCATGGCATACAAAATAAATAAATGTGAGGTAATGGAACTTCCCTGATAGATCAGTCTTGATCAGAGACAGTGTCAGGGTCAAGGTGACACGTCCGACCCAAAGCACGCAGCTAACCCTTAATTTTCTTTTCCGATTTATCATTCTGGGTGGCCAAAGCATCAAATCGCGTTCCCAAGTCTGCGACAGTGGCACGCATCCCTTCTATATCCTGCTCTAAGGCTACTAACCGGGTAACCCGACCAACCCCAGATGGTCCTGCAGCTTCCGCAACTGGCGCATGGGTGGGCAACTCAGCTTCCGCTTCCTCCTACTCATCCTCTCCCTCCTCAGGTGCGTCTGAGTCATCATTATCATCACCACCAGGTGCCATAGGCTCCTTCCCAGTAGTTACCTTATCCACTCAAAACATTGCCTCTATCGACACTTTTCCATCAATACTCAAGTTTTCCGGCACCCGAGCTGCCCGGCAAAGGCTAGTGACTAGGGAAGGGAAAAAGAACCCATACCTCTTCACCAGACAACAAGTAAACATCTCGTCGTGAATAAGCTTGGCCACGTCAAAATTGTGACCATTAATAAAACACCAAATCAATGCAGCTCGAGGGGCATTTACTTACGTGATGTTGGAGGACGGGAGCAGTCGGTTGTTGATGACATACAACCAGCACTTCCCTTCAAAGGTGAGTGCCACTGAATGGAACTTACGCCCATGTTTCATCTACATAATCTCCTTGCCTGGCACACAAATTGTTTCAAAGAATAACTCCCACTAAGTGTATTTTCTAGCATAGTCTTTATAATAATCCTCCATCTCCGCCTCAACAGAGGTGTCCACAGGCTTCTTGCGCACTGTGACCACACGATTCACATGTTCTTTAACGTTCACATAGAAATTGCGCACAACCATCAAATTCCCATCATCCGACTCTTCAAAGAAAATTCCTAACCCACACCTGACTAGCTCATTGTAAAAGTTGGGGCAGCCATATTGGAGCAATCCTATATCCATGCCCCTCTTCGGTATTTGTTTCATGGGTGCCTTATCAGCAAAACGGTCTTGAGCTGTAGTGGAGACGAACGTGTTATTATCATAAGGACGAGCAGAAGCTAAAGTGCGTGCTTTGGAGGGTCTCTCTTGGCCGCTGGTTAAAGTACCGATGGTCCGGTATTTCCTAGAAGGTGCCATAATACTTGAAATCAAGAACATCATCAGCGAAATACAAGAGATGTGAACCAAAGGCAGTTACTCAGACTTCATCCGCCCAGTTGGTTACAATTAACATTAACAACCCATTGAGAAATTTTAACAAACACTTTGTATGCACCATTCACCGGAGTCCCAATCAACAAATTTATAAGCCAAAATCCACCACAATTACCCCAATGTCACCCACATATGCTAAGACATACATTTACAACAATCCCAAAAACCCACTAGAATACAAGAGCACACTACAAAAATAAAAAGAAACAACTAAAGAAAAGAAAGAAAAGCTACTACATCACCAAGAACACAAATATTCCCAAAAACAAAACCTTACCTGATGGGATTATGGTTAGTAGATGTGAGGTGATGGTTAGAGGAGAAAATAGGGTGGTTTGGGTGTGCTGGGAGCGTGAATTTGGGAGTATTAGGGCTAGGGTTCTTTGCGGGAAAAGAGAGGAGGTGAGTGTTTTGATTTGTGAGAGAGGGTTTAGGTTTAGACGTGAGTAGAATAGAAGAGGGAGAGAGATATCACGTTTGGGGGGGGCGCTAAATTATTATACTACCAATTAAAAGACAAAATAATTAATAAAAAGAAGTAAAATAAAATAATTTTTTTTTTGAAAATCAAATGGCAGGCGCGCGGTCCGAGCGCGGACGCGCTTGTGAAATAGAATACTATGCCATATGCGCGGTCTGAGCATGGTCTGAGCGCGGCCGCGCTCCTAGGCGGAAACTTGAGGCAGAATACTTTGCTATATACGCAGTCTGAGCGCAGTTCATTCGTGGCCACGCACCTGTGCCTCGAAATTTCTTAAATTGTTTACCTCTCCTTCAGCTTTGGATGGACTTATCACTTGCCTAGGCTCACCTGCACTTGTTAGTACTTACAAAAATCAAAATAACACGTCTAACTACACTAAAATCATTATGCAGTGGGTTGCCTTCCAACCAGCGCCTTAGTTAATGTCGTGGCACAACAGTTACAACAAGTCAATGGGTTGCCTCCCATGCAGCGCCTGATTTAACATCACGGCACGACTCATGCTCATGTCATCACTCCTCATTTGTGTATTGGGGATCCTCCAATGTTATCACCACGATGTCCCCTTTTTCTTCAGTCATTCCAAGGTAATATTTCAACCTCTACCCATTAACTGTGAATTTGTTCGTCCCATCTTCAGATTCGATCTCCACAGCTCCACTTGGGAACATTTTCACCACTCTGAATAGTCCTGACCATCGGGACTTCAACTTATCTGGGAACAACCTCAATCTTGAGTTATATAGCAGCACTAATTCTCCGAGTTTGAAGTTCTGATTCAAAATGTGCCTGTCATGCATCAATTTTATCCTTTATTTATATAGTCTAGCACTCTCGAATGCCTGGAACCGGAATTCCTCAAGCTCATGAAACCCATTAACTCCGTTGGCGCTTGATGTCTCCATGTTTAAGTTCAGCTGCCGCAATGCACACAGTGCTTTGTGTTCGAGCTCAACTGGAAGGTGACATGCCTTTCCAAATACCAACATGTATGGTGACATACCAATTGCTGTTTTGAAGGCTGGGCGGTAAGCCCACAATGCATCATCGAGCTTCTTTGCCCAATCAGTTCTTGTTGCATTCACTGTTTTTGAGAGGACACGTTTGATTTCCATATTGGACACTTCCACCTTCCCCCTTGTTTGTAGGTGGTATGGCGAGGCTACTTTGTAGCGAACTCAATACTTCTCCAACAGGCGTGCAAATGCTCTATTGCAAAAATGAGAGCCATCATCACCGATTATGGCTCGGGGGGTGCCAAAACGTGTGAAGATGTTTTTCTTTAGGAAACCGGTCACCCATTTCGCATCATTAGTTGGGTGAGCAACTGCTTCGACCCACTTGGAGACATAGTCAATGACAACTAGTATATACTTGTTACCATATGAGCTGACAAAAGGCCCTATGAAGTCGATCCCCCACATGTCAAACACTTCCACCTCTTGGATTGTGTTCATTGGCATCTCATGACGACGGGATATGTTGCCCGTCCTTTGACATTCATCACAGCTTTTGACCCAAGCATGGGAACCTTGAACAATGTAGGCCAATACAGGCCTGATTCCACCACTTTTGATGCTGTCCGAATTCCTCCAAAGTGTCCACCATATGGCAAAGCATGGCAAGCCTACAAAACAGAGGGTTGATCTCTCGGGGATACACCGCCGGATCATGTTATCAACACATATTTTGAACAATAAAGGTTCATCCCAATAATACGCCCGACATTCACGATGTTTTTTTCTTTTGAATTAAGGAGAGATCAAGAGGTACAATACCACATGCTAAGTAATTAGCAATATCAGCATACCATGGTGCCTACTCCATTGTCACAACAAGTAATTACTCATCCGGGAATGTTTCAATGATATCCTCAACCTCGGTTCTCTTTTCTGCCCCTTCCAACCTCAAGAGGTGGTCTGCTACTTGGTTTTCTGTCTACTTTTGGTCACGAATCTCCAGGTCAAATTCTTGTAGCAACAGAACCCAGCGAATCAAGCAGGGATTTGAATCATTTTTTGCTATCAAGTACCTAATGGTTGCATGGTCAGTATAAATAATAACTTTCGAGCCAATCAGGTATGACCTGAATTTGTCGAAGTCAAACACTACAGTGAGCATTTCCTTTTCGTGACCACGTAGTTCAGTTATGCTCCACTAAGCATCCTACTTGCATAGTAAATTGGGTGCATAATCTTCTCCTTGCGCTACACCAAAACTGCTCCTATAGCGTAATCACTGGCGTCACACATTAGCTCGAATTGTTGCTCCCAGTTGGGTGCAAAAATGATGGGTGCAGTCACCAATCTATTCTTCAGCTCCTCAAATGCTAACCTGCAATCATCAGGAAATATAAAGTGCTGGTCTTTTTCAAGAAGCTTACATAAGGGGTTAGCAATTTTTGAAAAATCCTTGATGAACCGCCTTACCCAAGGAAACTTTTCATTGCTTTCACTGAAGTGAGTGCTGGGAGCTTCTCAATCGCATCAACTTTTTCATGGTCTACTTCAATCCCCTTTTTGGACACTCTATGCCCAACACTATGCCTCCTTGTACTATAAAATAGCACTTCTCCCAGTTCAGCACCAAATTTGTCTCCACACATCGTTTGAGCACTCTTTAAGGTTGTGAAGACAATCTTCGAATAAATCTCGTACCATAAAGAAATCATCCATAAACACCTTCATAATGTCTTCGACCATGTCGGTGAAAATGGCTAACATACACCGCTTGAATGTGGCTGATGCATTGCAAAGTCCAAAAGGCATTCTCTGAAAGGCAAAGATGCCATACGGACATATGAAGGACGTTTTCTCTCTATCTTCTGGGGCTATTGAGATCAAATTGTACCCCGAGTATGCATCCAAGAAACAAAAATGGGATCGCCCAGCTAACCTGTCCAACATCTGGTCAATGAAGGGCAAGGGGAAATGGTCCTTTCGGGTGGCTGTGTTTAATTTCCTGTAATCTATGCAAATCCGCCACCCTATGACTGTACAAGTTGAGATCAACTCGTTCTTCTCATTTTGTACAACTGTCATTCCACCCTTTTTCGGTACACACTGGATGGGGCTTACCTAATTGCTATCGGAGATGGGAAAGATGATGCCTGCGTCCAACCACTTGATTATATCCTTTTTTACTACCTCTTTCATATTCAGGTTCAGCTTGGTTGATGTTCCCTGGAAGGTTTGTGCCCTTCTTCCAAATGAATCTTGTGCATGCAGAAGATTGGGATGATACCTTTTATGTATTCCATGGTCCAACTAATGACAGTTTTGTATTCTTGCAACACCTACAGTAATTGTTCTACCTACACAGCTAGTAACCTAGATGATATAATAACAGGCAAAATAGAATTGGGACCCAAGAAAGTATACCTGATGTGGGCTGGAAGCAGTTTCATCTCCAGCTATGGTGATTCCTCTATTGATGGTTTTGCAGGTGGTATAGCTCTCTCTTCCAAATAAAGGGGCTCGAACTGAGTTTCCCTCTTCCAGAATTCTTGTCCGTCGAGTGCCATGACCCACTCTGCCAACCCTTCACCATCTATCTCCTTTAAATTTGTCAAGCAAGCTCTCAATGGATCTTTGGCATTCAAGGTTTCATCATCTTCATATAGGATCACATCCATAGCTTCCACTAGTGAGCAATTTGCATATTCACTAGGTCTCCTCATGGATTGTTGAACGTAGAATATTACTTCTTCATCGTTCAACCTCATTTTTAATTCCCCAGTTTCACAATCAATCAATACTCTCCCAGTGGCTAAGAATGGTCTCCCCAAGATGATGGGTATCTCCTCATCTACCTGGCTGTCCAGAATAACAAAGTCTGCAGGGAATACAAAATTTCCCACTTGTACTAGCACATCATCAAGAATCCTCGTTAGTCTTTTAACCGTGCGATCAGCTAGTTGCAACATCATCGAAGTCGGTCTAGCTCTGCCAATGCCCAGTTTTGTATATATTGCCAAAGGCATCAAGTTTATGCTAGCTCGTAGTCACACAATGCTTTTGCAAAAGCATAACTCCCAATAGTACAAGGAATAGTGAAGCTACCTGGATCAGACATCTTTTGAGCCATGGGTCTTGTCACTACCGCGCTGCATGTCTGTGTCAGATTTACTGTGGATAGGTCCTGAAAGTCAAATTTCCGTGACATCAGGTCTTTCATCATCTTTGCATAGCCTGGCATTTCCCTCAAAGCATCCATCAGAGGAATATTCAATTGAATCTAACGAAGAATCTCCATGAATTTTCTGTATTGATCTTCTTTCTTTTGTTTTGCCAGTCTTTGAGGGAATGGTGCACGCATCTCTCTTTGTACACTACTTGCTGGCTGTTCTTTGTTGGAATTTTGTGGCATAAGAGGTACCACCTGTTCTGCAACTTGTTCACATTCTTTAGTTTTACCCTTATCAACTTAAGCCTGTTCCACCACCACTTTAGTGTGTTCTGCTGATTCATCTATCTCTAATGGAACTGGAGTGGCTGTTCTAGTCTCTCTTCTGGATTGAGCAACTTCTTGCTCCCTGTCTAAATCTCTCCCATTCCGGAGACTTATTGCCATCAGCTGATTCAGGTTTTTCTCCTTTGGGGTTAATGTTCGTATGGGCTGGTAATGTTCCCTGAGGGCGGTTATTTAAGGCCATTGACAGCTGCCCCAGTTGAGTTTCAATACCCCTAATTGCTGAGTTATGCACTGCCAACTTTTCCTGCATCTTACCATTTATTCCAATGAGTTGTTGCAGCATACCCTTGATTTTTACCATGTTGTTGTCCTGTTGCTAATGAGGTGGCTGATATGTCATCTGTTGCTGGTGCTGCTGTTGATAGCCCTATTATCTCTGATATGGCACCATTTGGCCTTGGGGCCGCATACCTCCAGGTTGAGGCATGTTCGGTCTGTACTACTGGTTGGGTGTTGGCTCCCATTGTTGTCCTCCTTTCCTCTAACCCCCAAAATTATTGACACAATTCATATCCTCTCTTAACCTTTGGTTGTCACCCTCTCTACTCCATGAACACATATAAGACTGATTAATGCAAGGTGTACACAGTCCTCCATTTGTTGTGTCAACGATATGCACTTGCTTTGTACCCATCTCATCAATGTTCTTTGTCAGTATACTCATCTGAGTCATGAGTGTGGCTATGTTCTCTGCATGTGAATTATTTGGGTCAAGAGGAACTGAATGCACTATTTTTGTCAGGGTCGTACCTCTCATCATCCACCCCGAATTCTGGGCCATCTTGTCAAGAAGGATTTTACACTCTACAAATGTCTTTCTCAAGAATGCACCCCCAACTGAAACATCTACATTGGCTTTTAAATTGTCTGCTAACCCCATGTAGAATCTCTAGTCGAGCATCTGGTCTGGAATACCATGGTGGGGACATTTCACTAGCATCCCTTTGAATCTTTCCCAAGTTTCCTGCAAGGTCTCAGTGAGCTTCTGCTTGTATTGCAATATCTCATCAATCTATCTTGCAGTCTTGTTGGGCAGGTAAAATTTGTTCAGGAACTGCTTGACTAATTCCTCCCAAGTGGCAATGGAATTTATTGGGAGCGAATTCAACCAAGTCTGAGCTTCCCCAATCATAGAGAACGAGAACAGTAATAGCTTGATGGCTTGTGGGGTTACATTTGGCTACCTTTGGGTCACACAAATCGATAGAAAATTTTTTAGGTGTTGTTGAGGGTCTTCAATGTGTGACTCAAGAGAATAATCCCATATTCTGCAGAAGATGCTGCATGTTGTTGGTAATTTGGAATGTCTTCGCTTGTATTTGGGGTACAACAATGGTGGTGGCCAGGTTGTCAGCTGTTGGTTGTGCCCAATCATAAAGTGCAGCTTCTGGCACAAGAGGTGCCACCACTCTGATGTTTGGGTCATCTTGATCATTCCTGATGTTCCCGTTGATGTTATCTACATCACCCATTTCAATTTCAATTTTTTCGTTTTGTTTCAGTTATTTACTCTTTTTGTTAACCCGGTTCAATGTCCGGAATTCTTTCTCGGGATCTGAGAGTCCTTCAAAGAGTTCACTAGTTCTCGAAGAGCTTCTAGGCATGCACCTGAGTTACAAAAGAGTTCAATCGTGAGAATTTC